AAATCATTTACAATTAGCTGTGTAACCACTAAAATGACAAATCCTTTATAAGACTTTAGCTGTGTAACAACTTATATAATAAATCATTTACAATTAGCTATGTAACCACTAAAATAACAAATCCTTTACAATACTTTAGCTGTGTAACCATTTATATAATAAATCATTTACAATTAGCTGTGTAACCACTAAAATGACAAATCCTTTATAAGACTTTAGCTGTGTAACAACTTATATAATAAATCATTTACAATTAGCTGTGTAACCACTAAAATAACAAATCCTTTATAAGACTTTAGCTGTGTAACAACTTATATAATAAATCATTTACTTTAGCTGTGTAACCACTTAAATAACAAATCCTTTACAAAACTTTAGCTGTGTAACCACTTAAATAACAAATTCTTTACAAGCCTTTAACTGTGTAACCACTAAAATAACAAATCCTTTACAAGCATTTAGCTGTGTAACCACTTATATAATAAATCATTTACAAGACTTTAACTGTGTAACCACTAAAATAACAAATCCTTTACAAACCTTTAGCTGTGTAACCACTTATATAATAAATAATTTACAATTAGCTGTGTAACCACTTCAATAACAAATCATTTACAAGACTTTAACTGTGTAACCACTAAAATAACAAATCCTTTATAAGACTTTAGCTGTGTAACAACTTATATAATAAATCATTTACAATTAGCTGTGTAACCACTTAAATAACAAATCCTTTATAAGACTTTAGCTGTGTAACCACTTATATAATAAATCATTTACAATTAGCTGTGTAACCACTTAAATAACAAATACTTTACAAACCTTTAACTGTGTAACCACTTAAATAATAAATCATTTTTACGACTTTAGCTGTGTAACAACTTATATAATAAATCATTTACAATTAGCTGTGTAACCACTTAAATAACAAATACTTTACAAACCTTTAACTGTGTAACCACTTAAATAACAAATCATTTATAAGACTTTAACTGTGTAACCACTTATATAATAAATCATTTACAATTAGCTGTGTAACCACTAAAATAATAAATCATTTTTACGACAATGGCTGCGTTGATAGTCTACATATAAAAACAAATTCAGATATATTCTAATAATGTCACAAACTTTACATGAGTAACGCCATATTTACTTAACGCCATATTTAAGCAGAATTATTAATAAATGATATATTTTCTCTAGGTATAAAAGGCATAAGCTATAATTACCTTAGTCTCTAGGTATAAAAGGCATAAGCTATAATTACCTTAGTCTCTAGGTATAAAAGGCATAAGCTATAATTACCTTAGTCTCTAGGTATAAAAGGCATAAGCTATAATTACCTTAGTCTCTAGGTATAAAAGGCATAAGCTATAATTACCTTAGTCTCTAGGTATAAAAGGCATAAGCTATAATTACCTTAGTCTCTAGGTATAAAAGGCATAAGCTATAATTACCTTAGTACTTATGAATATTTATAAGAAAAGTAAACATGGTTTACACCACTTTGTTCATTATTTCAGTTCCCCAATGGTACAGCGATATATCTGCGGACTTACAACGCTAGAAATCGGGTTTCGATACCCGTGGTAGGCAGAGCACAGCTAGCCTGTTGTATAGATTTATATTTAACTACAAACAAATCGTTATTTCAACATAATCAGTCGTACATCATTTCCCAAAAGACGAATTTACTAACTAATCAGCCATTTTGTAAAAAATAAAATAAATGGAAAATCAGAATAACTTATTGACAGATAGGTCACGTGGCTTATTGAAATAATCTCGCAATTTCAAATTTTATATAAGGAGTGTCTTTTTTTTTTGCCCAGGTTAGCTATCAAATTATAAAGAACGCATAAATAAAAAAAATAGTACACTAATTTTAAATTTTCCACAGTCGTGACACGGTTTTAAATATTTGAAAGTTTTATACAGCTGTAACGCGTGTTTTCAAATATTTGATAAATTTTCATCAATTGAGTTGTATTTCTAAAGATTTCCAACTTTTTTTCGTTGGAGCTCCAAACTTTCAACAGTTCGGTTGTATTTCTAAAGATTTTCAATTTTCTCGACGGAGCTTCAAATTTCCATCAGTTGAGTTGTATTTTAAAGATTTCAAACTTTCTTGATGAAGTTTTAAATTTTCAACAAATCTAAACACTGTCATCTCTATAGATGGTTTTTAACATTGGTAACTAGATATCTGATGACCAATTTTCCGGATGTGGCTAACGTCAGCGAAGAACTGATGGAACTATCCGTCGAAGAAGTGGTGAGTATTTATGGTGATGAGGAATTAAATGTTCGAAATGAAGAAACTGTTTGGATTGCACTGATAAAATGGATTGACCAAGAACCCCAAAGTAGAAAAAAACACATCGTCCAACTGATGCGCTGTGTTCGTCTAGGCTTGCTGGACACGCAGTTTTTTATTGAGAAGGTCAAGAACCACCCTTATGTGCTAGAGAACGAAGACTGCCGGCCATTGGTCATTGACACACTTAAGTTCTTATACGATCTTGAAATGATCACGCAGAAGGACGGCGAAATTCCAACTCCTGACCTGGCTAGACCACGGATTCCTTATGAGGTCATGTTCGCCATAGGTGGCTGGAGTGGTGGGAGTCCGACAAATTTCATCGAAACCTACGACACCAGGGCAGACCGTTGGGTCAAGGTGAGTAGAAAATGTCGTTTGGAAATAAAATTTTTCAAAATGAACTAATATCCGTTTATTTCCTTTTTTCATGTCTTTAATATTAATATGATTGTCCCCCCCCCCCTGCTCCCAATTTTTATTTTTCTGCAAAGAATTTAAAACATTTTTTTGGTAACAAACAAAAGAAGTTACAGTCGTGGTTACACCTGTTATTCTTGTCTCCCGGTGGTACAGCAGTAAGTCTTCGGATTTAAAACGCTAAAATCAGGGGTTAGATTCCCCTCGGTGAGCACAGCAGATAGCCCGATGCGGCTTTGCTATAAGAAACACACACTCTTTTTTTGTTTTTCTTTTATTAATTCAAGTTGATTTCGTGTTGTTTTGTTTTACCGTAGAGCTGTACAATGGAGTGTCTGCATGCATTCGCCATTAGCATCGAACCTTGAATTCTAGCATTATAAGACCTCAAGGTTACCATCTTATGTCTTATTTTTAATTGTCGTCTAACATTTGGAGAAGTGTTCTTTTTTTTACCACTTAACATTCCAGGTGAAATTAAATCATGTAACTATCCGACACGTTTATTGTTGATGATGCACTGGTCAACATCACTTTATTTCAAGCCTGCTGTGAACAATTAAACTATGTTCGTTGCTCAGTTAACATTGTAGACGTTCACATTGTTGAATAAACACTTAATGAAGATAAGCAGCAAAAGTGAATTACAGTATCGATATACCAGACTATAAATCAAATATTTGTTGTCTATAAGCACTAAAACAAAACATCAAGTATGTCTTAAAATGCTTGTACGAGATAGAGATGATCAACGCTGACTTAAGCCTTAAAATGCTTGTACTAGATGGAGATTATCAACGCTGACTTAAGCCTTAAAATGCTTGTACTAGATGGAGATGATCAACGCTGACTTAAGCCTTAAATGCTTGTACTAGATAGAGATGATCAACGCTAACTTAAGCCTTAAATGCTTGTACTAGATAGAGATGATCAACGCTGACTTAAGCCTTAAAATTCCTTTACTAGATAGAAATGAGCAACGCCTACTTAAGCCTTAAAATGCCTGTACTAAATAAAGATGAACAACGCTGACTTTATATGGACATTAATGGAAACAATAACTAAAAAACATACACTATCTCCATTTAGTGTCGTTTCGGTTTTTTTATAAATCATTTTTATAACTCAGAGTTCAGTTGACTACGCCTGGTTTAGATAAACCACATATTCGATGTTCGATTCCCCGCGGTGGACACAGCGCAAGGTAGTCAATCATGTAGCTTTGTACTTAAGCAAACAAAATAAACCACGTTATGTATAGATTATGTCAGTTATAATTATGATTACACTATATAAGTATCCTACAGGGAGAGGAAAAAGTTACAGTAAGCTGGTACTGAACGGCTGGTACATTTAGTATTGTACAGTTGGTACTGAAGATAACAATAAAAAGACAATTAAAACCAATATATTTATTTTTTGTTTCAGAGAAAGACGTCGTTAGAAATTAAACTTCCCTGTAAACGAAACAACTGTATAGTCACATTTGCCCTATCCTGTATTTATGTGAATATAAGTTCGATTACTTGGTTATTACGACTTAATATTTCTTCAGTTGTATGTGAAAACATTTGACACCATTTTGTAAAGAAGAAAAAAGTTTAATTTACAGTATTTTTAAGGATTGACTTTTCATTTGACTCGAATACATTATTTAAAAATGACTAATATCCAACAGGAATCTGTATCAAAACTGGTCATTATCTGTTTTAGGGGCTGAAGGGTTTGCTATTTATGCAGCCTCCCCCAATGGCTCAGCGGGAAAATTGAAAGCTCATAAGAGTAAAGTTACGGTTTCGATCCTTGCAGAGGGTGCAGCGCCGAAACTTATTTATTAAATTTACATAACTTCAGCGATTTAAAAAGTAAGAAAATAATGATGCTTCAAAAATGTAAGAAAAAAGTCACCGACAAACAACAATATGGCGGACTAAGTTCCAAATGTTTCCAAATTAAAGTGAAATCCATCAAAGTTCTAGTGATTTGTTTTCGTTTGTTTACTTTTTAATATTTTTTTTATATTCATAAATTAAAGCCTTTTTGTACTTGGCGCTAATAATTTCTATAGTTTACATTCAGTTTGTGGTGAGCTGGATTTATTTGTCGTAATGTAAGGCCAGGCGTGGCCAAGTGATTAACATGTCACGACTGTCAATCCGAGAATTCAAAGTTTATAATGCGTGCCCCAAGAAAAACAAAACAAAAAACGCTTTGCATTTTGGGGGCATGAGTGTGTTATATTAGTAACAGTGTAGTCTCACGCTTTTTTGACCAAACATGAGTGTTCCAAGAATTGACGGTGGGTACTTTTGGTTAGCTGCCATCCTTCTATTATATCATTTAAGTAGCCCTCATGTAGCTTTGAGCGAAATCCTGAAAGAAACAAGTAAGTGGGTGTAATCTTCGTTGTACAAGAACAACAACAAAAAACACGCGAAATTTGCTTTGGTGTAGCATAGATGTTATTATGTCACTACCTCACGCGCTCCCAAAACTGATTTGAGATATTCTGCGTCCTTACGTACCAGAGCAAACTGGTTCTTCTACTTGCTATGATGTTGCTACTGTAATAAACTGGTTCTTCTATTTGCTATGATGCTGCTACTGTAATAAACTGGTTCTTCTATTTGCTATGATGCTATTACTGTAATAAACTGGTTCTTCTATTTGCTATGATGCTATTACTGTAATAAACTGGTTCTTCTATTTGTTATGATGCTGCTACTGTAATAAACTGGTTCTTCTATTTGCTATGATGCTATTACTGTAATAAACTGGTTCTTCTATTTGCTCTGATGCTATTACTGTAATAAACTGGTTCTTCTATTAAGATTTTGATTTTATCGTTTTTACAGTGATAACATTCTTCCACTTTGTTATTATGAAAGGTAGACGAAGTCGACCCACTGGGTGCACGTGCGTACCACAAATGCGCTGTCATAGACTTTGACATTTACGTGATTGGTGGATTTGATGGAATAGAGTATTTCAACAGCTGTCGATGTTTCAATGCTGTAACCAAACAATGGCGCGAGGTGGCGCCCATGAACGCTAGGAGGTAAAAAACAACAACAAAACAATAATAATTGAAACTTGGTAAAATGTATTTTCAAAGTGATTTAAAAATATATCTGTTTACTCTTCTACTTACCTAACCTTCTATCTGTAACAAAACGTGTTTCTGTTGATTTAGGTGTTACGTTAGTGTTACTGTCGTAAACAATATAATATACTCTATGGGTGGATATAACGGCCACCATCGTCAAAATACAGCAGAAAAATACGACCACAGGTATAACCAGGTTAGTTTTGTCAAACGATAATAATAATTGGATAATAATAACTTGAAACTTTTTTTTTTGCTTTCTCTTATCTTATATTATCTTGAAAATTTACACGGTTTTTGCTGTAAAGAAATGTTTCAATTTTATTTCATTATTTGTCTTCTTTTTGTCTTATTGTAATGATTATAAGACATTTATATGTCTTCGTTTTTCTCGTCATTATTTTCTTCTTTTCAACGGCCTTAGGCTAGCGTGTCCGGATTGCGGATCCGAGGATTCATTTTTCGCGTCTCACTGCAACAAAACTGCGTTCCACACTTTGGGGCCATGGGTGCGCTATAAGAGCGACAGTCAAATCTCATTTTTTCACCCAGACAAGATGCAGGTACCCTTTCTGTAGGCTTACGTGAAATTCTAAAACAAACAGTTAAACTTGTTATTTTAACAGCCTAAAAGTGAAATCTACAAACTGAATCTTTCTTCTCTCATTGCTTTAATCCTTTCTTGAGATTATCCTCGGATTAGTTGAAATCTTTATTTGTAAGTATATGCATGTGTAAACGATCTTACTTAAATAAAAACGTGATCAAAATCCATGTCTCCTCTAGAACGTGGCTGATTCAAAGGTGGAGTAGTCCCTTTTTGTTTGTGTTTAAGCGCAAAGTTTCACAATGCGCTGTGTCCACTGTGGGAATCGAACACTAACATTTAGCGTTTCAAGCCCTCAGTCTTACTTCTGTGCCATCAAGGGATAAAGTCCTTAAGAAAACAGGAGAAAAGTTGTTAAAGAAATACGATTGACTCAAACCCAGAGTAAGATTCTTTAGAAGAAGACAGGACTGGCTCTAGCCCACTGTAATAGTATTTATAATCTAAGACTTGCTCAAAGCCACCTTGAAAACAGGACTTACTCAGGACTACAGTATTTTTTATAAGCAAAAAAGTGGCTCAAATTCAGACTAAAGTCCTATAGATAATAAGTCTGATTCAAGTCCAGAGAAATATTTAAAAAAAATGACTTGCTTGAAATCAGATTAAATTTCTTTGCAAACGAAGACTGTGTGGAAACCGGAGTAAAATAATTAAAATACAGAACTGGCTTAGAACCGGGATAAAATATTTAGAAAATAAGACTGGCTAAGAATCTGAATATAATATTTAGAAAACAGGACTGGCTTAGAACCGGAATAAAATATTTAGAAAGCAGGACTAGCTTAGAACCGGAATTAAATTCTTTAGAAAATAGGACTGGCTTAGAACCGGAATAAAATATTTAGAAAACAGAACTAGCTTAGAACCGGAATAAAATATTTAGAAAACAGAACTAGCTTAGAACCGGAATAAAATATTTAGAAAACATGACTAGCTTACAACCAGAGTTAAGTTCTTTAGAAAATAGAACTGGCTTAGAACCGGAATAAAATATTTAGAAAACATGACTGGCTTACAACCAGAGTTAAGTTCTTTAGAAAATAGGACTAGCTTTTAATCGGAGTTAAATATTTAGAAAATAGGAATGGCTTAGAACCGGAATAGAATACTTAGAAAACAGAACTAGCTTAGAACCGGAATTAAATTCTTTAAAAAATAGGACTGGCTTAGAACCAGAGTTAAGTTCTTTAGAAAATAGGACTAGCTTAGAATCTGAGTAAAACATCTAGAAAATAGGACTGGCTTAGAACCGGAATAAAATATTTAGAAAACAGGACTAGCTTAGAACCGGAATTAAATTCTTTAAAAAATAGGACTGGCTTAGAACCAGAGTTAAGTTCTTTAGAAAATAGGACTAGCTTAGAATCGGAGTAAAATATTTAGAAAATAGGACTGGCTTAGAACCGGAATATTTTTTTTAGAAACTGAGATCGAGCCAAAATTAAATAGTTTTATGGTAGTTCTATAGTGAACCAATTGAAAAAACCTTTTACACATTTGGTACTATAAAGTTAGTTTTAAGTGCTTTACTAAGTTAAACAATCGAACAGTTTGAAGTCCTTTGACCAAATTGTTTTTACTTGACCACAAATTCCTTTGACCACTTGTATCTTTTCTTGGTAGCCTCTGATTTTAAAACTCCTATTTATATAAAATCTATTACACAAACCATTTATGAGATCATCCCCCCCCCCCATATACATAGAAACCTAATCTAAGAATGTTTGGGACATCCGTTTGTGCGTTTAAAAATATATGTCACATTTCAGAAAACCTAATATGCAATTAGTTAGTTCAAACATGAAACAATTACTAGATGTACTTGCGCAGGGTCTTCGAAAGTGTTCCGTTTCGAGAGTAAATAAAACCAAAATTAAGAGTAACAAATATTTCTATTTCTTGCTCTTGAAATTCGCATGTCATGCCGTGTTGTAGCCTACAGAATGAATAATTCTTCTCGTGATTCATGGCATATACACGTTTTACTGACGTCACGACAGTACAAGTTGCAATGTTAAGCGTTCCTTATGTGACGTCATTTTAATGTCTACTGACTGACTAACAGACAGCACACTAATGTATAGTGGTGCGAGTGAAACAGGAGAACCACGGTTTTATCGATAAAATGAATTTAAATATAGAAGGAAGATGTAATCTGGGGTTTTTATACATTCTCAACAAACAAAGAATTACATCCATAAATATTTATTTGTTTTTTAAATCATGTTTTAGATAAACTGTTTATATTTTCTTTAGGTATTTTATGAGGTATGTCTATGTTTAAAAATGAAGCTGTAGTATTTGATCAATGTTAGAGGATAAATCTCCAACTATAAAAGCTAATAGAATGAAACCTTTGAATCGCGTCGAAATCAGGCAAGAGTGGTTACGATTAATAGCTAGTAACCATGACAACAAGTGATATTCAGTCGCCACGACCTTACCGTAAATATCGAAAATAGGTGTTTCGGAACTCTTAAGATGTAGACCAAATAAGATCTTTAAACCTCGTTAGATCTATTTCAAGCCATGGGCTGTTAATGTGATGCAGGGGGATCACTCCCCCTCAACATTTTCACTGGGTGAGACGCTCCATATGTTGGTTCATATTTTTGCCAAGAGAGATTTAAATTATTGGGTAAATTATCTAAACACATACGAATATGCACAGTCTGGGTTATTTCACCCAGAACTGTGAACCCCACTTTGAATTTCTAAACGATTGTTCAGCTGTAGAATCGTTGACTCTTACCTTTTTTTTTTCTTCTTCATATCGACAACTGAAATGGTAACAGAAAAACGTCATCTGGTGGGTCATCGGTAAGTTTAAGGACTCGCAATGCTAAAATCCTGGGTTCGATTCCCTCCTGTAGACAAAGAGCAGATAGCCTATTAATTGTGTAGCTTTATACTAAGAAAACAACAACAAAAATTAACAGAAACATAAGTTAACATAGCACTTCACATGAACTTTAATTATATGTTCATATTAGGTTGGTTAACACAAAAAAAATATAGAAATGTTCATAAAAATTCGGTTGTAAAAACGACATAGTAACATGAACACTGTCTTCCTGTTGGATACCAATTTCTGTTCGCGAGGATGCGAAATTTGCTTGACGTAGCTTACGAAACAAAGTACTAATAATAAATTAATAAAATTAGTCTAAAATATCCTGTAAATCTTGGTTTCACGGAAAGTTTTTAAATTTATTGTTAGAATAAAGGAAAATCCATCAACTTTCCGCCCCAGATCATGCTAGAACTTTTTTTTTATATTTGTCCTTACCGAATTTCATTGCCTAGTCGCATTTATGGACTAAACAAATAAAACCATTAAAGTTCTAACGAGATGGAATCTTTAATTAAACCTGGTTAGGCCTAGCTAGTTCAAGGCGATAAAAGCTTCATTGTTGACTAGAAAGTATAGGCCTAAGTCTAGTTATCAAAGCTATATATATATATATATATATATTTAATTAAACCTGGTTAGGCCTAGCTAGCTCAAGGAGTTAAAAGCTTCATTGTTGACTAGAAAGTATAGGCCTAAGTCTAGTTATCAAAGCTATATTAACCCCAACAAGAAAAATCCTGATCCATTATTAGGCTTAAGTTAAGTTATCTATACTCGTAATCGCAAATAATTGAGTTTAATTAACATCTTTTCTGAATTAAAATATTGAAATAACTAAACTGCTAGTAAATCAAAATCGTTTCGGTTTCAATTTAATCTAACAAAAGTATTCTTTGTTTGTTTGTTGAATTTCGCGTACATCTACTCGAGGGCTATCTGCGCTAGTTATTCCTAGATTAGCGGGAAGATAGCTAGTCATCACCACGCACTTCCAATTCTTGTGTTACTTTTTATCAACGATTAGTGGGATTGACCGTAACAATATAACGCCCCCACAGCTGAAATTGCAAGCATTTTCTGTGACAGGTTTCGAATCCGTGACCCACAGATTGTGAGTCGAGCGCCCTAATCACCAGGTCACCAGTAACACACAGAAATATACTACAATACTGAAATAAAAATGTAGCTCGGAATTATAGCAACAGTGAGAAGTATTACACGAGGAAATCAGATCGATATTTGAAATTTATAGGAAATTTTCATTTTCATTAGTGGTCAATGATAGCTCCTATGAATGTCCAGCGAAGCGACGCCTGCGCCACTGTACTTAATGACATAATATTCATTACTGGTGGTTTTAACGGGGCCGAGTGCATGAACTCGGCTGAATGTTACAATCCAGAGACTGACCAGTGGAATATGCTCAGTCCAATGAGGAATCGCCGCAGTGGAGTGTCTTGTTTCGCCTACCACGATAACATCTATGTCCTGGGTGGTTTCAACGGCATTACACGACTATGTAGTGGAGAGAAGTACAATCCTGCCACAGACACCTGGACCCCTATACCTGACATGTATAATCCACGATCCAATTTTGCTATTGAGGTAAAACATATTTCTCGTTATCTTCCCATTGTAATAAATCATAAAAAAAGAAATCAATTAAAAGAAACAAAACAAAAAAACGAGAGTTAAACACTATTCAGTCTGCCAATAAAACAGTAAACCTTACTGTTTTAAAGCTTTTATTGAAATGTATCTCATTCATATGGAGCCCTGGATGAGATATGAGTATAAAAAGAGTGTACTATCTCGTTCCTACGAGATACCTAAATCGTTCCAATGACATAACTGTCACGTGGACACGACATAATATATTTTCCTCATGTCACTTCCAGGCTTCGTAAATTCATTCCTAAAAACAACAAATTTTAATTCTCGGGTTTCTAGGCGACAAATAGTGTTCTAACCAGACTCTAAGCCTACACTTAGCGAGAGTCAGATCAAACAGACTGTTACTTATTGCTATAGATAGATGGCGCGCATATTTATCCAGTCCTTTTCTGTCATTTCAGAGTATCACTTCTTAGAACATTAAGGCAGTAGCAAACTTTTCATAATAGCTTCGGCAGAGTTGTATAGATAATTGTTTTACTACGTCCCTGTAGTACGTATACACATACACACACTACACACACACACACATATATATATACACACACACATATACAGAACAGACAAGCTTAGACACGTAACGGGTTGTTTTTTTTTTTTTTATAATAATGCTTTTAATATCTAATGATGTCCACTTTGTGGATAATGTAAAAAAATTAATCTATAACCTGTATTCCGAAATCTTTCAGTTAGTAGTTCAATCATAGTCGTCGAGGAGCTGTAGATATTGTTTCAGTAACACCACAAAGTAAACTTACCGATCAGTGGTTCGACGAGTAATCAGTATAAATATGATAAGCATTAAGAAATTTTAAAAAAATCCTTTATAAATATCAGTCATCACTTTAAAGTCACAACGGATATTGTCTGTGGTAATAGCTCCAAAAAGCGTTGGGAATATCCCATCTACCAGACAAAGTCCAAACGCTGATGTTAAACTAGATAGTAATCATGTAAAATCAGTTAAGGGTATGGAGTTGAGTGCTTACACCCACAACGTCTCAACTCCTACTGGCTTTCACTCTCTGCAACCAGTTGTGGGAAGGCAGTTATCCTTAAAAGTTCTTACAATTATAGTTTTTGTAAGGTGATTTTCAATAACTTCTTTAAAACTAAAGTTTCTGTTAATCCCTGATTACACAGGCTTTACTATTCCACTCTGTCCAACCATCTAGTTACTGTTTTCATTACTCTATCCAACCATCTAGTTACTGTTACATTACTCTGTCCAACCATCTAGTTACTGTTTTCATTACTCTGTCCAACCATCTAGTTACTGTTTTCATTACTCTGTCCAACCATCTAGTTACTGTTTTCATTACTCTGTCCAACCATCTAGTTATTGTTTTCATTACTCTGTCCAACCATCTAGTTACTGTTTTCATTACTCTGTCCAACCATCTAGTTACTGTTTTCATTACATTCTAAAGTTTACCTTTTGAATCGCTTAGGTTTAGGCAACTACGTTGACTTCATTTATTGCCTAAACGATGCCTTATGCACACAATGGGCTAAATGGCAGGGTAAGAGATCCCTATGGTTCAGGCATGGCGTTCCTGATTTCGAACTATAAATAAGAATAAAGGCAAAATTTTGACAGCACGAACCGCCGATAATGTATACTCTTAACCGAACAGCGAGATTAGCTTTCACTCTTATAACGCACCCACAGTCGAAAGCGTGTTTGGTAACAACACACCTTGAACCCGAGATCCTCGATATGGTGTGTTAAGTGGTAGGTCAAATCCTAAAATATCCTCGATATGGTACATTAACTGATTGGTCAGATCCTAAAATATCCTCGATATGGTACATTAACTGATAGGTCAGATCCTAAAATATCCTCGATACAGTACATTAACTGATTGAGGATATTTTAGGATCTGACCGTATCGAGGATATTTTAGGATCTGACCAATCAGTTAATGTACGTATCGGTACATTAACTGATGGTCAGATCCTAAAATATCCTCGATAGGTACATTAACTGATAGGTCAAATCCTAAAATATCCTCGATACGGTACATTAACTGATAGGTCAAATCCTAAAATATCCTCGATATGGTACATTAACTGATAGGTCAAATCCTAAAATATCCTTGATACAGTACATTAACTGATTGGTCAGATCCTAAAATATTCTCGATACGATACATTAACTGATTGGTCAGATCCTAAAATATCCTCGATATGGTACATTAACTGACTGGTCAGATCCTAAAATATCCTCGATACGGTACATTAACTGATAGGTCAGATCCTAAAATATCCTCGATACGATACATTAACTGATTGGTCAGATCCTAAAATATCCTCGATACAGTACATTAACTGATTGGTCAGATCCTAAAATATCCTCGATATGGTACATTAACTGATTGGTCAGATCCTAAAATATCCTCGATATGGTACATTAA